CCCTGCAGTCTCTTCTCAGCAGGACTCGCATCCAGGATGGAACTGCCGTGATTCTTCTGTGCATGTCCCCACCTGGGCCTGGGGCTGGTTGCTGTCCCCTCCCTTCCCTGATCTGGCCTTTGCTCCTTGGCTGCCCCAAGTGAAACCTCGGCCCCGGTGGCTGGGAAGGTGCAACGGGATCACAACTTGGCAAATTAAACCTCTCTCCCCTGTTGAGGCTGCTGCTGGGGCTGGCCATGTCCCCACAGCTCCAGCGGTGAGGGGGTCGGGGGATGGAATGGCTGGCAGGGGCTGTTCCACTCTGGTCAGGCCCACCTAGGCTGGGGTCCCCTGGGGGGGAGAGCAGAGAGCATAAACCCCCTCCCTGCCCCTCTTGCTTCAGGGGGCCATGGTTGGTCAGCATCTGGCCACGCCTCCGCTCCTGCTCTGGCTAGAGAGCAGAGGGGTGGCGCCAGCCCTGCTCTCTGAGGCAGATGCCACAGCCCAGCCTAGAGCTGAAAAGCATGTTGGGATGCTGGGGGACTCTGATTTAACCTAAACCAGGAAGGGGTCTGGGACAGAAGTTCCATAAACCGGTTTGACCTCAATTATTTAAGAATGTTACTACATTCAACCAGGGTTATCTTAAACCAGTTTCAGCCATTTTGAAGCTGCTTTACGTGCACTGAACTTATGTTCTGGTACAGGTTTAAACCAGTTTCTGATCACTTAAACCATTTTATGTGTAACTTCTGTCTCTAGGCATAAGGGTTAGGACTGATTTCAATCTATCTGAATCTTTTAGATTGTAGAGGTGCACCAATATATTGGTCCATATCATATCAGCACTGATGAAAGGGAAACTTGATGTTATTAGCAGTTGGCTTTTTTTGGCTGATATAGCCGATTTTAATGTCATCGATAAATGCCGCATGCACGCACACAGCTGCAGCATGCATGTGGCCAGGAATGCAGCTCAGCGGCTTGGAGGGCAGCATCTGGCCAGTAAGTCTGTGGGGGGGAGGGAAATGTGTGGAGGGGCAGATTGAGGCCCCCAGGGTGAGGGAGGAAGCTAAGCAGGGGCAGGCAGCCTCTTCCCGTGGGCGGCTCATCCAGGGGCAGGGAGGGCGGGTCCTGCTGCTGCGTGCACCCCCAGGGGAGGCATGGGGAGCATGTTCCCTCTGGATTTATGTGCCGGGTGAGGGTAGGCTGCGGTGGTGGAGCTGTGCTGTGACTGAATTCAGGGTGGGCAGGGTTGGGGTGGGTGGCAGCAGTGCTGGTAGGAGGACTGCCTGGGGAGTGGGTCTAATTTTGGGAAGGCTCTAGCCCCCCTCCCAGTGCTGCTGCATGCCTCAAGCACAGCCCCAGCCCCCCCCCCAAGAGGTTGGCACAGCTTCTGAGCCTGCAGCCCACCCTCGCCCTACACACAAATCCAGGGGGGGCACATGCCGCTCCTGTAAGTGTGTGCAGTAACGGGAGCTGCTCTGTCCCTGGGACGAGCCTCCCATGGCTCTGTCCTGTCCTGTCCTGCCCTGCCCCACTCCCACCCTCACCCTCACCGTGGGGGCCTTGATTTGTGCCCCCCACACCCATAACCCCACACAGATCTATCAGCTGGACGCTGGTCTCTTAAGATGCTGGGCTTCATATCAGCAATTGGATCGGTATCAGCCAATTATAGCTGGTTAATAATTGACATTGGTATCAGCCAAAAAATCTTTATTGGCGCACCCCTACTAGATAGATTTTCAAAAACAGGAATGACAAAATAATGATAGTTCTAAGACTTTAATGATTTTTTTTAAGCGTGATCAGGGCTTCAATTTTCTGGCTGTATTAGTACCACATGAAGAAGCAAATGTGGAAAAACTTTCAGTTTAAATCGCCTTTTCAGATGATTGCTTAGAGCAAGAGTCAGGATACATAAATTACAAGGTCAGTGACAGTACTGACTTGGATATATTACATCATCTCTATGTATGAAAACATGCACGTAATAGTGTTCCAAATTTTGTACTTAACAAGGACTGTAAACATACTATATATATGAAACTTGGTGAAGTTAATAATGCCATAGGGGTAGTTAACTCCTTCCCCCCCCCGCCCCCGACTCCTTAAGTACATGCAAAGCTCTTTGTTAAAATAAAAGTTTAGAGAATTCTAACTGGTATTTTATGATTCTAGCTTGAATTTACCTTCTAAGGTAAATGGCTTTTGAATCGCTGTATTCACACACCTCTTAATATAAATAGAACTCTTGTTGATGCATACACATATTTCATGAACTTACCAAGAGAACAGGCCTCTTGGTTTTTGAGGCTGAGGCAATCTTTTACTTTTTAGGCAAGCGTTGCAGATGTTGGTAAAATATGGAATGTGGTTTGATAACTGAAGTATACATGCAAAACATCAATCAACATTCATGTTCTGTGAAGAATCTAGTAAACTCCTGTTTCACCGGTTGTTTTCTTACTTATCTTTTTCTCTTTCATCAAAGCAAGAAATCGAATATTTTGTTTGGTTCATAATGCAGAAAAACAAAAATTATATATTTATTCATCTACCTCTGAGTGTTTAAAATGAAAGGCCACATTTAAATACTTGTTCAAGTGGAGTTGATATGGTATCTTTATTGAAGATACAATTTCAGCTCTACTATTTATATTGCTGGCTTCCAAGGAATTATGTAACCATGTGCTTTGTCTTTTCAGGGAGTCTGAAACACACTTTTCTTCCGATACAGACTTTGAAGATATTGAAGGAAAAAATCAAAAACAAGGCAAAGGAAAAGTACGTTTAGTTAATCTGGGATAATGCTTTTTTGCTGATGGAAATGAACAAGCACTTGTTTTGGTGCTTGTTAGTTTTCTGTATCATAGTGGGGAAAATTGGCACGTGAATAACTCATACCTTTTTAAAACATCTCAAATGAAGAGAGTTCATATTCCTACTTGTATTTAAGTACAGAGGAATATATTTTCCTTTTAAATGCATGTTACTAAGGCAGTGGTTCTCACCTGGAGTGCCAGGCACGTTGGAACTAACCCAGGTAGAACTGGACCGTATGCCTCCGTTTTCAGGAGGCTTGTTGGAGTCGAACCAGGAAGACTCAGTGGGGGTGACTCCCTGCCTGTACAATGTAATGCCAACAGGCGCGCCTTTCTGTAATAGCTGCTTCTCAGTTCGGCTCCAGAGTGCCTTCTGAAAACAGATGCAAGGGACACTTCCACCTGTCTCGCGTGCTTATTTCTGGGAGATGCCATGCAGGGTTGACCTGAGGAAGGAGGCAGCAAGACCACATGCTCCTGTCACAGCCACTTCCCCATCTGGCTCTGCAGGAGTTGTGCAGTGAAGTTTGACCTGGCTGTGGTGGCAGTGGGATGATTGCAATATGACCCTATCAATTGTTTACGTATTAATAATATCATTATAATGTGTATATTGTGCATAATATATTTAAATTCAGATTTTTTAATAGAGTGCTGCTACATTTTGAGAAGTTTTGGAGGGGTACTTTGAGTCTAAAAAAGTTGAGAACCACTATAGTAAGGTATTGTCAAAAAGAAGCTTTAATTTTTCTTTTACTTCATTCCACTGAAGCGGTATCTAAGCTTAGATTACATGCTGATAAACTTAGATTATATGCTGGTTTTGTTTATTGGTCAATATAATTTTGGTGCTCTTCATGTTAAAAGTACTTACAAATAACGAAACTCAGCGAAGACTTTTTAAAACTTCCAATAAAATTTCTAGCTGAGGATTCCTTTGTCCTAGCAAACAAAGATAATTAAAAATAAAGCTAACCTAATATTTTATTATTATAACAGTTGGTACTTTTCCCCCCTAACAAGTTTATTTTATCTGTGTACTCCTCTTATCTGAACTTTTTTCAAACCTACTACATTAATTACTCCCTGTATATCTGAATTACCTGACAGACACTCAGGAGAGGAATGTCTGTTTTGGAGTATATTGTAAGAGGATTTCAGAAGCTGTTTTACTCATTTACCCAGATTTTTTTAGCACGTGGAAAGCAGCTTAATAAAGTTGTTCTCACTAAGTACAAATATTATATTGCTGACATTTTAAAAATAAGTCTGTGTATGACTACTTTCAGGTTAGATCCCATTTTCAAATAAAAGAAGTCATAATAACTCGACTCTTTAGAAATCATTGTTTACATAATAAGGAAGTCTTAGAGTTATTTGCATCATTATTAGTTTCTGTAGGGTGATAACTTGACAATAATTTAAATCCCACTTTTGTTTGCAGACTTGTAAAAAGGGGAAAAAAGGCCCAGGGGAAAAGGGGAAAGGTGGAAACGGAGGAGGGAAGCCTGGTGGTCCAAATCGGATGAATGGGCATCACCAACAGAATGGTGTGGAAAACATGATGCTGTTTGAAGTAGTTAAAATGGGCAAGAGTGCTATGCAGGTAAGAGCTGCGTCTCTGTGGGACTTGAAAGGATTTTAAATTTATGCCAGAATTGATTCTTTGCAAAAATAATAATAGTAATAAAATCAGAGCAGACTTTTGTGCAGTCTTTAATACATTTTAACGACGGGCATTTAAAAAGTCCTATGATTGCTTAAACCCAGATTTTGCAACATAAAGAATATAAAGTGAAACTGACCGTTTCATTGTCAGCAAGAATATAGGAAGTAAAAAGGGTGTAAATAATGACAATAAAAATGACAATCACTTTTATAATGTAAGGGGTTACATTATTAACCTCCCTGAGGATGTGTTGGTTTGCACCTTATCTTGCTAAGTAGCTTCAGATGACTAAATATTCAGACATGCATAATGTTGATAATTACCAAGATGGCGAATAATAAAACTGCAGTTTTAAATGGCTTGGTGGTTACCAGAGCTCAATAAACGTTTTAAAAGGAATTAACTAATGACCAAGGGTAACTCGCATATTCCTCTTTTTAAATAAACGGAGGTAAAAAAACAGAATTAAAATTCTGTCATTGTTTTTGCTGTAACTGAGCAGGAGCTGGTTTGGATCCTGGCCAGGAAATTTCACTCTGTGATAAGTTTCTGGAGTAGGCAGTCCCCGAGTGATCTTGTAAATATGGTTATGAGGTTTGTGCGCAGAAACTTTCCAGAAGAAAAAGCTGGTTTGTTGACACCAAGACATTTCTTGGGACCATGTTGATTTTGACATATCTTCCATGGATGACTTTAATGGACCCCTGTCTGCCATATTTACCCCTCTGCCTCCTTGGCAGAAAGACTGTTCGAGGGTTGGTGCCTTAAGATGCCACGCCTTCCTCCTGCAAAACTTAATTGGGGGCTGCAGAGCTTGGGTTTCCAGGTAGAATTGCATTAAAAAATTGTCCAGGCAAAATTAAGTTTATTTTAGAACATTTTGGATTTGAAGGGGTGGGGGGGATTTTTTAATTCCTATTTTTTTCATTCTGATACAGAACACTTTTTGGAATTCCCACAGAATGAAAATTCCTATTTTTAACTAACTTGAGCACCACATTTTTTTCAATAGGTAGATATAAATCCTTCAATAACCTATCTAAACTGGTAAAATAAAAGTACATTTATTTGAAGGTTGCTGGCAGCTGTCTCTCCGGATCCCTGATGGAGAGAGCCTTGTGAAAAGAAGAGTTAAGAGTGGTTCATAGTCTTAAATTTGGTCTCCTGGAATCATGAATTACTACTGGGAAGTCTGCCTAAAGAGGCTCCATTAATCTCTGGATGCCACCGTTTCAGTGTTACATACTCTTCCAGAGCTTTGTCCGTGAAGCACAGGAAGGCTTCTGTTGCATAATCCCTTTTCCTCTAATTGTATGAATACGTAAGACAACTGTCAGGGTGGAAAGGACCAGATACTGGGTTTAGACATCCTTTCATATTGCTATATTGGTGAGGGTGGCTGTTTCAGTTTCAGGTTTTTGCTAATGTTGACCCTTTCAAAATAAGTAGGGTTTCTCCTCCTAATGCAAGAGGTATATGGTCCCACTAGGGGAAATGCCTTACTGGATTTGGTGTTGGCTAGGGGGAAGGACCTGGTAGGGGAGCTGCAGATTCGTGGTCACCTTGGGGACAGTGTCCACCAGTCAGTTGAATTCACCATATGGCGTAGGGTGGGTAAGATAACTAGTAGGGTGGAAGTGCTTGACTTTAGGAAGCCTAACTTCAGTGTGCTTAGGAGTTTAGTCAATGACGCACTGCAGGAAAACAGTATTGGCAAGATGCGAGTCCAGGAAGGATGGTCATTCCTAAAGAAAGTGATCCTTTGGGTGCAGAGGGAGACTATCCCAGTACGAGGGAAAAGGGAGAAAGGAGCCAAATAACTTCCTTGGCTAAACAGGGAAATCCAGGGAAGCCTAAGAGTAAAAAAGAAGGCATATAGGCAGTGGAAGCAGGGGGAAGCTACCAAGGAGGAGTATGCCTACTTGGCCTGCACTTGCAGCGAGGCAGTTAGAAAGGCCAAAGCAACTACAGAGCTGAGGCTGGCAATACAAATTAAAGACAACAAAAAGTATTTTTTTAAGGTATGTAGGGAGTAAAAGGAAAACAGAGGACAGCATAGGACCTCTACTGAACAAGGAGGAGCAATTAGTGAAAGACAGGGGGGACAAGGCTGAGCTATGCAATCAGCTTTTTGCCCCAGTGTTCCTGAACAGGGCTCCAGATAAGTCTCCTAACGGCTTCTTAGATGGGCATCAGAGGGACACCAGCCTACCAGCTGTCGACGCTGACTTGGTGCAGAGTTACTTGGATGGACTGGATGTGTTCAAGTCAGCAGGCCCGGATGAGCTGCATCCGAGGGTACTAAAGGAATTGGCCAGTGTTATAGCAGAACCACTGGCATGGCTGTTTGAGTGCTTGTGGCACTCAGGTCAGGTCCCGGAGGACTGGAAAAGGGACAGTGTGGTCCCTATTTTCAAGAAGGGGGAGGAAGGAGGATCTGAGTAATTATAGGCCAGTCAGTCTCATCTCCATCCTTGGAAAGGTCTTTAAAAAGATTATGAAGAATCATATTTGTGGAAGTCCAGCGGGAAAATAATGCAGCAGGGAAACCCGCATGGATTTGTAGCAGGGAGATCTTGCCTGACCAATCTGGTTTCGTTTATGACAGGGTCACAAAATGCTTGGACGCAGGAGTAGAGGTGGATATTGTTTTCTTGGACTTCAGCAAGGCCTTTGATACGGTATCTCATCCTATTCTCATAAATAAATTAAGAGGTTGTGACATAGATGTTTACACGGTCTGTTGTGTGACAAATTGGCTTAGTGCTCGCACCCAGAGAGTGGTAGTAGATAGGTCAGTATTGACCTGGAAGGATGTGGGTAGTGGGGTTCTGCAGGGTTCGGTCCTTGGACCTGTACTCTTCAATATCTTCATCGGTGACTTGGATGTGGGAGTGAAATGTACTCTGCCCTAAACTGTGGAGTGAAGTGACACTTCAGACAGTAGGGAATGATTGCAGGCAGATCTGGGCAGGTTAAAAGAGGTGGGCAGTACACAAGATGTAGTTTCAACAAGGGCAAGTGCAGAGTGCTGCACTTAGGGCGCAGAAATATCCAGCACATCTACTGGCTGGAAAGTGACCCTCTCAGGAACACAGAAGTGGAAAGGGATCTCAGAGTCATAGTGGACTCCAAGATGAACATGAGTTGTCAGTGTGACAAAATCATCAGCAAAGCTAGCCACATGTTACCATGCATCAGCAGATGCATGACAAATAGATCCAAGGAGGTGATACCTCCCCTCTATGCAGCTTTGGTCAGACCACAGTTGGAGTACTGAGTCCAATTTTGGGCGCTATACTTCAAGCAGGATGTTGATAGACTCAAGAGGGTCCAGAGGAGGGCCACTCCTATGGTTAGGGGCTTACAGGACAAGCCCTATGAGGAGAGACTGAGGGACCGGGACCTCTTCAGCCTACACAAGAGAAGGCTGAGAGGTGATCTTGTGACCACCTACAAATTTCATTAGGGGGACACAGCAAGGAATCGGAGATGCTCTGTTCACCAGGGCACCTCTTTGGGTAACAAGGAACAATGGTCACAAACTGACGGAGAGCAGGTTTAGGCTAGACATCAGGAAAAACGTCTTCATGGTGAGGGTGGCCAAAATTTGGAATGGGCTTTCAAGGGAGGTGGTGCTCTCCCCTACCTTGGGGGTCTTTAAGAGAAGGCTGGATAGGCATCTGACTGGGGTCATCTGACTCCAGCACTCTTTCCTGCCTAGGCAGGGGGTCAGGCTTGATGATCTGTTGAGGCCCCTTCTGACCCTAGCATCTATGAATCTATGATTTTTAAGTGTGGTGATACTGATACATAAAACTCTGTGGTGCTTTAATTTGAACAGCTCTTAGAGCTGCTCTAATTAACACACTGCTCTCCCCCCTCCTCACCACACCTTCACCCCCAGAGCAAATGGAAAAGTGCCCTTGATGCCTCAGTTGCAAGATCAGTGGTAGCCTCCTTCAGGATTCACAGACAGCAGTCATCATCATAAGTTGCTGGCCTCAGAATAAAATATAATAGAAACTTGAACATCTTTGAGTGGGGCAAAAATGGAAAAGTTCAGAAAGCAAAGGATAGTAGGGCTGTGTGAAGCTTCAGTCCCTGATTTGATTCAGCAGAGATGTGGCCCGATTCAGTGGCCGAATCTCTGAATCCGAACCGTATCGGGGACCAAATAAAAGGTCCGGATAGGTTCAAAGTTCTCTGAATCTTTGGAAAAGATTTGAGAGAGCTTTGATTTGGAAAGTCCCCAGTGGCTGCAACAGGGAGCTGCAGCCGGACTTGGAGCTGGTAAATAGCCCGCCCGCCACAGCTCTAGCCCTTTAAGAAAAAAACCCTGGACTCACTGCTCCTGCAGCAGCCTTGGGGCTTTGGGGGGCTCATGGAGAGCCCCCCACACAGTAGGTGGCAGCGGGGCTTGCCCCCCCACTCAGCAGCACTTTCTGACTTGGGGCTTTTTATTTTCAAAGCGCTGGACCTGGGGCAGGCACGGCAGCCATTGCCGGGCTGGTAGAGTGGGCAGGGGATGGGCCTGGGTGATTTAGAGATTCAGCAGCAACTGAATCTCTGAAACACATTGGGCCGAATTGATTTGGCACAGTGATTTGAATCACTGCCCCCCCCCACAATCGGCTGAATCTGAAGCAAATACTAGCCGCTTTGCACAGGCCTAGTAGTTATATTGGTTCAGAATGTGAAAAAATCAGCGCTTTAAGAGAATGTGGACAAAAGTTCTTGTGTAGAACCAACAAGCACCTCCTTTTGCATTTATTGCTTATTCATATTCACAAGTTTAAGCTATACCGGCAAAAGTTATGCCTTGTATCATTCAGATGTCTCTGTTGGGGCATTAGCTGATACAGCCCTATAAGTATATTTAAGATAGCAAATTTTTAAGTGTAGAACAACATCTTAGTCTTTGCCCCAGTCTTCAAGACCTCTTGTTATAGCATCACATAGCTGATATTCAAGGAACAGTTCATGAAAAGTTCAACGTTTTAGGGAAAATAGGGAGTTCCTGGCAGTCTTACTCTGGAAGTAGGTACTGAAGTGTGGACTCCAATGAAGTACCCGGAAAAAAACTGCTTTTGTAGATTAAGAAACATTATTTTGTTTAAAACTTAAATTTTCTTCTAAGACTGTATTAGGAAGCATAATAATGTTATGCTGTAGTCATTTGTTCTGTTCATATTGTATGTGTGTGTATATGCATATGTTTTGCAGGGGTAATCTGTTAGTTTTAAGAGTTCCATTTGCTAATAGATCAAAAAAATTACATGTGCTTTTGTGTGCTCCTGACGCTCAGTAATAGGTTATTTTTTGCCAATTTTTAAAAAGAATGAGTTAATGTTTTGTTTTGTTTTGTTTTGTTTTTTCCCCCACCCTCCCAGTCTGTAGTGGATGACTGGATAGAGTCATACAAACATGACAGAGATATAGCACTTCTTGATCTCATCAACTTCTTTATTCAGTGTTCAGGCTGCAAAGGTAAGATGCATGTTGATATACTGCTGTACGTTACACCTGCCCATTTTCTTATCATTAGGGCTAGGGACCTACCTAAACTGGGGTGAGGTGAAGGGTTTTTTGCAGCACACAGAACCATTTTCACGAACATTTCACAGCAGCCCTGTCCCTCACTGATGATTGGTCAAGAGGCCCTGAAGGCCCCATCCATTGCTACTGATTGGTGGAGAGGGCTGTCCTTCTACTTTGTCTACCAAAAAGATGTGGCATTGAGTAGTGATATTTTGCAGGCCTTCATTCCTTCTTCAGCTGCTTGTTTGCCACTTTGTTGGGCTGGAAGGGTTTCTAAAGATTGATGGACGGGTATTTCCCTGGTTATGGGATGTGGGCCTACTGCCCTCACAGCACTTCTGTTTTTATTGTCTTGACTTGAAATTTCTATAATGCTCTTGAATTTTATTTTGGTTGATTTGATTTTATATTTTTTTGTGGTGGAGAGGAGGTGGTAAGAAAAAAAATATTAAGATGTAATGTATTCTTAATGTCTGTTTTTTTTGAGATTTTGAGTTCACCCTATCCCTCATCTTTAATTTAGAGTTATGAGAGCTTGTGTCTCAAAGAACCTTGTCCTTTTATGTGAACTTGGAATTTTGTGGGGTTTTTTTTTTTTATTTTTGTAAACTGTAGGTGGGGGTAGCAAACTATAAGGTTAAAAAATGACTGTGTCCATTTTTCTAGATGTGGATACCTTTAAATATTTTAAAATCAAAGCTTTAATGTACCCTGAAGTTATTTTCAGTTTGAAGGGAAATTGTTTTTTATATCACTGTCTATGGGTATGATATTGGTTCAAACTCTGTACTTTAATAGTGCTTCTAAATGCAGGCAATAAATATGTGAGATGAGATTTATTTTTGTCTGGCTGTGTAACTTGAACATGACAAACAAAAAACTTTTACCTATATTAATTGACAGGTGTCCAATTAAATTGTTTTGGGTAATATGCAATCTGTCATTCCTCTTTCATATCTACAGTACTAATCTAATGTCTGTGAATTGTAGGAGTTGTTACGGCAGAGATGTTTCGACACATGCAAAATTCTGAAATAATCCGAAAAATGACTGAAGAGTTTGATGAGGTAATGCTTTAACTTCCAGTAATTTCATGTGACCCACAAAGCTTTTCAATTTACCTGTTCACGCTGCTAGATCACATTATTCCCAGAATTAAGTTTCAAAAATGGATGATCTGTTAAATTCACGAATAGAACTTTGTAACTGGTTTTAATGACATGTTTCTTGAGTGAAAGTCTTGAATAATTCATGTAATCAAAATCATGATATCAATGTAGAACTTTATTTTGTACATTGTTGTACCTTTTGAAGTCAAATTTGAATTTGATGTAAGTATGAAAAATACAGATCCCTTACAGGAAAAAAGACAAGATGCATTAATGCAATATTATTTCTTTAAAATGGAAATTGTGAACCTGAAACCTCATCATGAGGAAGAGCTCTTGAAAGCTGTTTGAGCCTGATGGCACTGTTGGGAAGGGAGGGACAGGGGAGCCTTTTCAGTAGCATCAGCCTTTCAGAATGTTAAAATTATGCTTCCAGCTTTGTGTGCTGCCAGGTTATTTGAAATGTCTGCTTGTGTTAAAAAGTGAAGTTGAAACTCTTACATCTAGGCACAAATTTAATTTCAGTATAGTAAAAAAATGATACTAAAAACGTTAGGTTTTTAGCTTACAGAATAGCACTATTATGGATGCAGAAGCAAGTTTTAAATGAGTCTAAAAGAAAATAATCTTCTTATAGCATCTTGGTCTTTGCAAACAATACCAGCAAGTATCAAAGGTCCCAAATTGACTTCTCTCATGTTCAGACGTAACAGGCAGTTCGTTGTTAGCCTTGTGTGGCTGTTTTGGCTTAGGAAGTTTGTCTTTCCTGTGAAGGCTAGAGCCATGTTCATTGATAGACATTTTGGTGGTGGTGACTTATTTCAGTTGCAAGACTGAGGATCTTTGGTCACCAGATTGTCAGCCAGATGTTATCCAAAACGGAGTAATCCTTTATTTTTTGAAGGAAGCAGTTCTGTATAGTTATCGAGCTAGTCTGGTATTCTCATCCTGCCAAGTTGTTGATGTTTGAAGGTCAACGCAGCGTTTATTCTGTGGTAAACCAGCTATCAAAGCGCTTGTACTGTTTTAACAAAGACAGTCTGTTCATCCTTTTATCAAATGATGCCATAGTTATGTGTTGTTTCAGTAGAAATACATTGAGTACAGTACACACGTCTTTCACTAGGGGTAAAATATATCCCTAGATGCACCTCATTTGCAAGGAAAAAACAATCAGCATAAATGTTTTCTGAAGACTAATAGCCTTCCACTGTTTTCCTTCAGTGGCATTTTCTGGAATTTATTTTTCTCTAAAAATAAAAATGTAGATGTCTTTGGAAGAAATGTTTACAAAAGGTAGTGTTCTTTTGAAGAATTTTCTGATTTATATTCTCTGATTATTCAACTAACTTTTACCATATATTTATCCATAGTCAGCACAGCAAGCCACCCATCTTGGCTGAGGTTTCTAGGCACCATGATAATGAAAGGGAAATTATATACCCCAGATACCAGACTTAAATTTGTTTTGAACAAGAATAGGTTGTCTTAATCTTTGGGTGTCAGTCAGCTTATTTTATATGTATACGTGGGGCGCTCTTATATTTTCAGGTAAATATTTTTTTAAAGTACTGTGTATTCCATCTCTATGCTTACTGCCTACTTCACTTCACTGCATAGCATGAGTCTAGCCCCAAATAGTGGTTCTGTGTATAAACAGAAGTTCTTGGCATATTTCAGCCTCATGGGCTACTTTGAAGCTTAATTATACTTTGGTTAAGAGCATGCTAACTGTAACAGTCTTTTTTTGTAATTTATTGCACTTGGTTTAACTGCATCTGAAACAGTGAAAGAAAAGCAGCTGTCAAGGTGCTGCTATTAGAAGCTTTGAAAATGAAAAAACAGGTCAGTACTGGGCCTGCTAATACTAATACCGTGGCACTAACTGCTGTAATTAATGCTTGTTAAGTTGACTGCACTGTCAGTACTTTGTACTTAAAGAGCATTATTTACATGGAGTTCATATACTTAGGTACTTGGCGGTAGAGGTCCAGGTACTTAAAGTTCTAAGTCTAGACCGTTAAACTGAGGAGTCTGCTTACTACTCACTAAATTTATTTTACAAGCTTTATGAATCCTTAAATCCCAATGACTTGAATTTCGTTCATATCATACTGATGGTTTTCCACCTTTTTGATGGTTTAAAATTGCCACCTTGTTGGTTATTGCCTCGAACGTTGAGGTGAGTCAGTCTGATCCGTGATCATTCTTGCCTTATGTTCTAATAAAATAAGGTTGCTTTAAAACGTAATACAACACTTTTGCCTAAAATGGTAACAGATTTTTCTCAGAAATCAGTGTATAACTCTGGATTTTATCATTAGCCTTAGGCTCTGCAAAGTAAAATGAAATTTTTGTCATGTGTCAAAAGATGTTCACTTACTGCTTGGGAATAACTGTAGGCATTCAAAAACGTTCTTGTTTATAATCTCTGCCAATAAGACCAAATACCCTTTCTAGTTTTGGACTTTCTAATTGGATTATACTCTATATCAAAACCTGTTTCTTATTAAGTTAGAGTTCTAGTAGCAGAAGGATTGGAAATAATGTATGTGATGAGTACTTATGTTCTCTTCTGTGTTCCCATAAAATCCTCTCATACTGATGCTTGGAATTAAAGTCTACAAAGTATTGTGGTTTCTTGCTCAATGTTAGATCAGGATGACAGCCATTCAGTCCTTCTAAGTGCACCTTAACGTTCCTACAGAAGTGTAATGTTGGTAGTGTGTTAAAGGGCGGGGGGGGGGCACTGCAGAAGTACTTACTGAAGGCAAATGAGAAATCACTTGTCAGATTTACTTGTTGTCTGGACATAACTTTGTGTTTCTCTCAAGAGGCTTTGAGAAGTCATTTTGAGGCAGAAAGGCTCTCTGTGCATTCATTGTTTTCACTGGGTGGTAGTGGAGTTGTTTGTAGCATCAAGAATGTTCAATCTGATGCACTGATGGCTCTTGATACCATTATCTCAGCCGTGATTCCATGTCTCATGAGCATCGCGTCTAATGTAGGAAATATTTATGTGGCACTTCTGGTTAGACTAGATGAGGGGTGCTTAACCCCTAGTCCATGGGCCAGATCTGTCCCACAGTGGTGTCATCTGGCCTATGAAACTCCCCAAGAGTCTGGGAGTTTGGTAGCAAGAGAGCAGTTGCAGCATTAATTGCTGCTCTCTTTGACTAAGTACAGACTATCAAAAAGCTTGAGGCTAAATTGATTCAATATTAGCAGGTTAGTTTAAACTGCGTAGATTGAGCTGAGAAGCATGTGAATAGATGTTCATTTTTGGTTCCAGAAATGCAGCCACATGCATGCAGTGGCTCAGGCCAGAAGTTGGGGGTGCCTTCCCTTCCCTTCCCTTTGGCAGTAACTGGGCAGCTGGGAGGAAAGCCCTCAGGGGCTTTTTCCCCCATCCCTGCTTGAGCTGAGTATGATGCGGGGGAGTTTAACCCCCCCACCCAGGGTGTGCCTAGGGAGGAGAGGAAGTAAGAGCC